TTTTGCGCCCTCGGGGATCCCAAAGCGTTGGAACGCCGGGAACGACTCTGGCCCGACCGGGTGAAGCAGGTGTGGATGGAAGAGCGCCTGTAGGAGAGCCTGGGGGGAGTGAGAAGCACTAAGAGGAGGCTCTCCACATGTTTGGGGGAGGCAGGGGAAGGAGCCTGTGGGGCTTGCAGCAGTCTCTGTGTGGCCAGGGCCCTGCCGCCACCAAGATAAGATTTGTTCCGAATCCATCTGAGAGCATTCCAGAGACTCTCAACCTCCAATCCTGAAAGGAAAAAAAAGAAAAAAGACAATAAACAAAGGCATGCAGAAATTCACACTTGATTGTGGACTGTGAAGATACTATACAAAGGAAATCAGCCGCAGGTTGTGTATTTCCCAGGGCTCCGAGGGCCAGGGGCCAACCCAGCCTCCCAGGCATCTCTCACCCAAGAAATCCCCCCTCAAGTCCAAGCTGAGGTTTACACAGCCACAGCGAAGAGATCTAGCTGTTTAGAATCAACAGCCTGAGCTATTTGGATCCCAGTCTCCCCTCTCCTTGAGCAGCCTGTTGAATTTTTTTTTTTTTAATTACCTAGAGGGTCCAGTCCTTTTTGTGTGTGTGCAGATCCAACTGCGGGGTGCCAGTCCTGGGCATGGTTGCCGAGGGTCACAGTCAGAATTAGCATACGGGATCCAGGAATGCAGGAAGGCTGGGCCATTCCTGGGGTCCTCTCTCACTTTGAGAGTAGCCTTGCGGGAGGTTTTTTGTCACCGCCACCAAGGCAGAGAGGACTAGTTTGGAACGAATTCTCTTGGTGTGATCTCCGCACCAGAAAGCACTGGGAGATTGCCTAAGAATAATGTCCATCCTCCCTGCCCTCAGCGACGGCTGTGGAGGCCTGTATGCGCATGTGTAGGAGATATAAAGATCTGCGTGTGGGGTGGACGGAAGTCTTGTGAGAGCCTTGATGAATATGTGTGTGTGTGTGTGTGTGCGCGTGCGTGTGTGCAGAGCATTGGGTGGGCGTGCCTGTGGTAGAGGTGACCTCGCACCATCCTGATTCTGCAGCTATGGAGCAGAACAGGGATTAAGATCTGCCCTCTGCTGCCCGGGGTTCTGACTATTTAAACGGGCTATTTGGGATGTCCGCTGTCTGCTAATCCCGCTTGTCACTATTGTCTCGCATTCAGGATCCAGAGCTGAGCAGAGGATCCTGTTTGCTAAGCTCTCTGATGTCTCTCAGTCCCGAAGCTGACCACCCCTCCCTTCCCTACCCGCCACTTCTCAGTGGATCCACAGACCTTGGGGTGCACTCTGAGTCGCAGGGAGGTGTGCAGTCTTCAGAAAAAGCCCGGGCTGCTGCAGTGGATGGGAAGGTGGGAGCGTCAGGCTGCACCAGCTCCATCCTTCCCGTCTTTAGAAGGACAAATGAGACAGCAGGCAGGTTCTGGACAGTGGCTGCCACCTCCGCGGACTTGCCTAGATCCACTCCCTTGCGTCCTGCTCCGGGCTTTGTGCTCGGCTTACAGGAGCCTGGGTTCCCCCCTCCCCCACAGAGAATCCGGAGGGTGAGGGTCAGGAGACCCAGACTTCTAGGCGCCCCAGAAGAAACCCTGCACCCTCGTGGGTAGGACATCCATTCCAGACTCGCATTCAGGCAACTGGAAGAAATAGGGAGCCTGGGTAGCTGAGGCCCATCTCCAAACTCCTGCCGCCAACACCAAAGTGTGTGGGTAGAAGTTCAAAGGAAACATTCCGATTTTGCTTCGGGTACGAGTCCGAGGGAGCGGATAGGCCCGGTCAGATTCATCAGGGGGTCGAACTGAAGAGGAGAGGCGGAATCCACCTCCGGGGCCCAGGGTGCCCATCATTTCCCAGCACGGATCCAGATAAGCGGTCCCTTCCGGCGGCAGCCTTGCGACGGTGTTATTGCCGTACCTGGCTCAAGGCTTGGGAACCAAGACACTTGTCCCCGGAGGAACCCAGGAGTCGCCGCCTGCTCCCCAGCGGTGTCCTACCTCGCCCCCCAGCGGTGAGAGCGCAAGCTGCTGGCCCTCAAAGAAGGCTCTCCACCGTTAGATTTTGGGTAATCTCTTTCTGCATACCCCAGATTTCTAACTGCTTCTTCCCACCCTGCCATCCCCTGCCCTGCCCCATTGATAATCACTGCTTACCTCTAGTGCTTTATTTTCAGGTCCTTCATATTTCAAAAGTGGGCTTTTGATCGTTTTCCCCTCAAACAGAAGGAGGACAAGGAGGCTATGTTGTCCAAGTGTTTCATTGAATGACATGTCCTGCCCCAGGGACTGATCTGTTCCCTTTATCCATTTGGATGGATGGAGGGAGCCAAATAGGCTCGTAGGGACCAGTCAGGAAGTTGAGAAGGATCCTCGCCTTTCTGTTGGTGGGGATGAAAGATCTCAAGGGCAAGGGCCAGAGAGAGGATGCAGTCAAGGAGGGGGCAGATCAGCCATAGGGCTTAGTCATCACTGCCAGTGAAGGTGTGGTGGGAAACCCAGGCCTGGACGTGCAGGGATTCAGGAGGTGGAGCTGGTTTGACCCCAGAGAACCAACCTTGGGTGTTTTTCCCACGGCTTTTATTTATTTATTTTTCTTCCTCTTCAAAGAACACTTGAGAGCTTACAGAAAAGGTGGAAGAATTCTACACTGACAGTGCATACGCCCGCCACCTAGACTGACCAATCGACAGTTTTACCGTGTTGGATTATCTACCCTATAGCTATCCATCTATCCAGGTAGCGATCCACCTTTTTAAAAAGTGTCCTTCCAAGTTGCAGCCGTCAGCGTATTTCCCTGTTATGGAAGCATGCAGGATCGGTACCAGTGACATTCAGATAGCACAGGACCAGTGGCAGTGCTTATCTCTGCTCAGCCATCCCGAGTCCAAAGCAAAAGCAAAATATCAGCGATAAGGATCCTGTCTTGATTTCACATTTTATTATTTTGTTCATGTTATTTTGAACATTATGGTGCAGGCTTAAATCTTGATATTGATTTATTATGTATTTGTGTGTGTGTGTGTGTGTGTGTTGGCTCCATGCCCAATGTGAGGCTTGAGCTCAAGACCCCGAGATTGAGGGACACATGCTCTACTGACTAAGCCAGCCAGGTGCCCCTGAATTTTGATCTTTAAAATAGTGCATCAAGGGGTGCCTGGGTGGCTCAGTCGATCGAGCCTCCAATCCTTGATGTCGGCTCAGGTCATGATCTCGTGCTTTGTGAGATCGAGCCCTGCGTGGAACTTTGTGCTGACGGCATGGAGCCTGCTTGTGATTCTCTCTCTCCCACAGTCTCTTGTCCCTCACCAGCTCACCCATGCATGCGCTCTCTCTAAATAAATAAACATTAAAAAATTAAAAAAAAATCGTGCATCAAATATCTCATTGAATTTTTTTGCACCGTCTTAAACTTTGCTCTCTGAGCAAATGCTTCACTTGCCTCATGCTCATCCCAGTCCTAAGTGTGAGGTAGGGCTTGGGAGAGGAGTTCTACTTCCTTCCTAGAGGTTTGGAGTGAATCTGTTCAAGAGCCTGGCTATGACTCATCCCACAGTGATGCTGTGGGTACCATCTCTGCCAGTTGTGGGGTCGAAGAGGGGCCAGGAGGGGAGAGACCTCTAGCCACAAACGCCAAGCAGGGTGGTCCAGCAGCGTTAAGGGTCAAGCTCTGGAAGGGGATGGGGAGGGGAGGAGCTTTACACCTGCCGGCAGCTCCAAATAACACTCCGTGGGTGGGATGGAAACAGGGCATACAGATGCAATTGTTAAGATAAGGTCAGGATGGGCCCTTCATTCAATATGACTGGTGTCCTTACAAGAAGAGGAAAAGAGATACACACACAGGGAGAATTCCATGTGACGGTGGAGGCGGAGAGTGGAGTGATGCGTGTACAAGCCAAGGACTACAAGCGACACCCAAATATAAGATAAAGGCGTGGGACGAATTCTTCCTTAAAGCCGTCAGAAAGAGCATGGCTCTGTCCACACCTTCTTTGGGACTTCTGGCATCCAGAACTACGAGAGAATAAATTTCTTCTGTTTTCAGCCATTCCTAGTGGTACTTCATTATGCCGACCCTAGGAAATGAATACAGTAGGCTTCTGATCTATTTTCTTCTAGTCATTTCTATGGGCAAATAATTACCACCATAGATTTTGTCTAGTGCTGTGTTGTACAACAGAGTAGCCACCAGCTACACGGGGCTATTTAAATGCAAATGTAGGGGCGCCTGGGTGGCGCAGTCGGTTAAGCGTCCGACTTCAGCCAGGTCACGATCTCGCGGTCCGCGAGTTCGAGCCCCGCGTCCTGGAGCCTGTTTCCGATTCTGTGTCTCCCTCTCTCTCTGCCCCTCCCCCGTTCATGCTATGTCTCTCTCTCTCTCCCAAAAATAAATAAACGTTGAAAAAAAAAAACTTTTTAAAAAAATAAATGCAAATGTAAATTTAAATTAAATTAAATTAAAAATCAGCTCCTCTGTTGCACTACTCACATGTGGCGCATGCATTAGACACTGCAGACTGTAGAACATTTCCATCATGGCAGAAAGTACTATTGGATAGCATTAGTCTAGCGTGTCCATTTTCTCCTGCAGTAATGCTGCGTGGCAACCCAGAATTTCAGTGGAGAACAAGCATTTTGTTGCTGTTCATGGATCCACAGGGCAGCCCAACTGTAGATTATGGGTCAACTTGGACTTGGCTCTAGGCTGCAGTTTGGGTTTGGGTCTGCTCCATGCATTTTCCATCCTCTTCACACTCCGGGCATGTTCTTCTTATGACTAACAGCAGGAGTGCAAAGAGGGCAGTCTAAACCACAAAGCACACTTGAAGCCTCTGCTCAGATCACATTTGTTTAGCGCTGGCTGAACGCAAGCCACGTGGCCAAGCCCAGTATCAATGTTTATAGCTAGAGGCCCTACAAAGTTACACGGCAGGTGGTATGGATTATAATCTTATTATATGGGAGTGGAGAACCAGACACGAGAATCCGGTCTACCTTACTTATACACAGTGCTTTTTTTTTTCCCTGAAAAAGTAATACATTCACATGGCTAAAAATGTTTTAAAGTATGCTGTGAACATTTTCCCCATACCTGACCCACCCACCTTGGCTCCTCTCTTTATAAGTATACTCTTATATTAGTTTCTTGTCTATCTGTATGAAAATACAAGCAAATCCATATATATTTGTCCCCACCCTTTCTTCAAGGTAGTTTACTATACACTGTGCTGCTTTCACTTACTTCTTTCAAAAATAAATCTTGAAGTTTTTCCCATGTTAGTATACATAAATGCAGCTCTTTTTTTTTTTTTAATTTTTTTTAACGTTTATTTATTTTTGAGACAGAGAGACAGAGCATGAACAGGGGAGGGGCAGAGAGAGAGGGAGACACAGAATCTGAAATGGGCTCCAGGCTCTGAGCTGTCAGCACAGAGCCTGACGCGGGGCTCGAACTCACGAACCGTGAGATCATGACCTGAGCCGAAGTCGGATGCTTAACCGACGGAGCCACCCAGTGCCCCATAAATGTAGCTCTTGAACTTACATTCACTTATATTTACTGTTCTCTGTGTTCTGCTTATCCCTGCTTTCTCAGTTTAATGACTGATGAGATACTTTCAGATACTTTCAGATGAGATAATGGGTTTGCTTTGGAAGGCAACACCCTTAATCTGACTTTGCCACTAGGCTGGGTCTCAGTTTGGCCTAGAAGAGTTCACAGAGATTTTGAGAAAAGTTTAAGGTTTCATCTCTTGCTGAAAATGTTACCATTAAAAAAATTTTTTTAATGTTTATTTATTTTTGAGAGAGAGAGCGAGAGAGCGAGAGAAAGGGGACAGAGGATCCAAAGTGGGCTCTGCACTGACAGCAGTGAGACCCATGCGGGGCTCAAATTCACAAACTGTGAGATTATACCTGAGCCGAATTTGGACACTCAACCAACTGAGCCACATCCAGGTGCCCCAAAACGTTACCGTCTTTTATTAACTAACTTGCTTTTTTCAATTTCTTTTTTTTTTTAATGTTTGTTTATTTTTGAGACAGAGAGAGACATAGCATGAATGGGGGAGGGCCAGAGAGAGGGAGACACAAAACCCGAAGCAGGCTGCAGGCTCCGAGCTGTCAGCACAGAGCCCGATGCGGGGCTTGAACTCAGGACTGAGAGATCATGACCTGAGCCGAAGTCGGCCGCTCAACCGACTGAGCCACCCAGGCGCCCCTAACTTGCTTTTTTCTCTCAAAGTTGCAGGTTCCAGACCTGAAAGCGTACAGTCAAGGGATGTGCTTTTAAACGTTTTTATACTCCTAGCTGGGAGGAATGGGGCAGGGGAGAGCTTGCCCAATCCTTTTAGAGCTAAACTGGAAGGGAGGTGTCACATTATCTCCACTCCCACCCCCACTGGCCAGAATTTAGTCACAAAATCATACTAGATGAAATTTTGAGGGAGTTATACCACTAAAAGGAAGAGAGAATGTATATATTGAGAATCAATTAGTCCTTTTCTCAGTCTTTGAGGTCTCAGTGAGAGGGCTATGGGAGTTAGTAATAATAAATAATTGAATTATTTAATAATGAATCTATTAAAAGAGTTCATATTGTATTACAAAAGCCTACACACAGGAAAGTGCACAAATCGTAAGTGGACAGTTTGATGAATTTTCACAAACTGAAAGTGTGTACGTAGCGAGCTCCCTGGTCAAGAAATTGAACACCCTCAATACCCCCGAGTTTGTTTCCCTGACCGCTGGGCTAAGGGCTTCGTAACTCTGTGGAGGCGGAGCCAAGGGCGATTGAAGGTGAGTTACCCGGGAAATGGGGGTGTGACTAAGAGAAAAGGCGGGGCCTGAAGTAGTTTAGGGACAGGTTCTGGAGACCCGGAAGGGGCGGGGCCTGGTGGCGTTACGCATCCGGGGCGGGGCTAACTGTCGCGTCCCGGCTGGAGCGAAGGGGCGTGGCCAGACCGGATGTTGGGGGCGAGGTTAAGCAAAGGAGGGACTTCGAGGCGAGGATGGGCGAGGCCTAGCGATCCCAAAGGCCGCCCGGGTCGCTAGGGGCGAGTCAGGCGAAAAGACTGGCGGGGTTTCGTGAGGGGAGGAAGCTTGGGAGCAATCGTCACGCACGGGGCGGAGTCTCGTGTCGTCTGGGCGGGCATTGCGGTGAGGGGCGGGGCTTCGCGTCGTTTGGGCGGACGTTGCGGCAAGGGGCGGGCACAGCGCGCGCGCTCCAAGATGGCCGCGGCCAGTGCGGCCGGACCGGTAGGGAATGTGTTCCCGTTCCGCGATGCCCGCGCCG